GGGTATATTTCCCCTGCTTTTGCGAATTCCTTGCATGCATATATTTTTAATATATTTAATATATATATATATATTATATATATATATATTATATATATATTATATAATGTTGTGTGTGTGTATTATAATGGTCATGTTCCTTGTGCACACACTTGCTAAATGTGCATGTGAGTGCGTGTACACGTTTGCCTGAATGTGTGTGTGCGTGTACAGGGTTACCTGTAAGTGTGCGTGTACACAGGGTTACTTGTAAGTGTGCGTGTACACAGGGTTACCTGTAAGTGTGCGTGTACACAGGGTTACCTGTAAGTGTGCGCGTACACAGGGTTACCTGTAAGTGTGCGTGTACACAGGGTTACCTGTAAGTGTGCGTGTACACCAGGGTTACCTGTAAGTGTGCGTGTACACAGGGTTACCTGTAAGTGTGCGTGTACACAGGGTTACCTGTAAGTGTGCGTGTACACAGGGTTACCTGTAAGTGTGCGTGTACAAAAGGGTTACCTGTAAGTGTGCGTGTACACAGGGTTACCTGTAAGTGTGCGTGTACACAGGGTTACCTGTAAGTGTGCGTGTACACAGGGTTACCTGTAAGTGTGCGTGTACACAGGGTTACCTGTAAGTGTGCGTGTACACAGGGTTACCTGTAAGTGTGCGTGTACACAGGGTTCCCTGTAAGTGTGCGTGTACACAGGGTTACCTGTAAGTGTGCGTGTACACAGGGTTACCTGTAAGTGTGCGTGTACACAGGGTTACCTGTAAGTGTGCGTGTACACAGGGTTACCTGTAAGTGTGCGTGTACACAGGGTTACCTGTAAGTGTGCGTGTACACAGGGTAACCTGTAAGTGTGCGTGTGCACAGGGTTACCTATAGGTGTGCGTGCGTGCGAGTTCGTGCACATGCTTGCAGGTGAGTGCACATGTCTACGCTTGTCTGTGTAAATGTAAATATATATATATATGTGTGTGTGTGTGTGTGTGTGTGTGTGTGTGTGTGTGTGTGTGTGAAGCCTATCCAGCACCATCCTCTATCACTACCCGGGCTGCCCTCTTCTCTCACTAGTCCACCACCCACCTGCCGTACGTGCGGGGTCACCCTGTCTTCTGCTTACTGCCTCGCCGCCTTTGTAATCTGTGTCTGTCTTCCTCCTCATTATCACAAATGTTTGACTGACCACACTCGAGAACCTCCGGCCTGCCAGGTGAATGTCTGTCTGAGCTCGTGATCTGATCAGTGTACCAGGACGATTGTGAATTTACGTGACATGTGATAGGCTGGCTAGCTTTTGTGCGTGTTGCGGTTTTAGTGATCAGTATCAGAGGGGTTTAGAATGATTTACAAATGCACTGGGGTCAAGGCTCCCCGGGACGACGATCACGAGGAAGGCAAGTCACAGAAGTGATTGTTAATGCTCTCTCATCTCGCCTCAAGGAAGATTCAACGTGCCAGTGATAATATCTGAAGGGTAGTGATGAGTACCATCCTTGGTGGTTTAAGCGAAGAGCCTTCCGAGGTAGGAGCGTCCAGTCCTCTTGCTGCTGCCCGGCAGTCTACTCGTGGGTACTTCACCAGCCAAGAGTCACTGGAGACACTTGCTTGGGCTCCACACTGCGGCGGAGCCTACCACAAGAGCCTGGAAGATAGCAGCAAGAACCTCTCTGCTAGTTTGAACCGCCGTAAATGTGATCTTGGCACTGGAGACTCCGTTACCTCACTTGACAGTTTCTGTGACGCTCTGGAAGATTCCAGAGACGAATCCGATGCCACTGCTACGGTGGACAGTGACACAGGTTCATTTTATTCAGTTGAGTCTTACCGCAAGACACTTCGTAATAGTAGTGCTGCTTCTCTTGTAAACTCAGAATTTGGTAGTGAGATTACTCTGTATGACTCTGCCCAATCTCTCAACACTCCGCGAAATTTAAGCCATTTGTCATTGTTAGACTTCGACAATTCCAACAAAGCTAACGAATACACACACAAAAAGTTGGAACACAGCACTAGTCTGTGTACAAATTCTGATAATTTACAAGGATTGCTTGAAGAGAAAGAGAGTTCATTTTGGGAATATACAAGCTGCCCCGACCTCTACTCCACTGGGCGCGGATCTAAGATACCTGCTGTTGTTAGACAGAATCCTAAACGTGCTTTTCAGTCCATATCCGCCATCAGTTCCAGCCTCCCGCTTAGTCTCTCTCCTCCTTTATCTCCCCTAAGAAAGATACTTGAAACTAATTCTGATATGAGTGCCGTTAGCGGGGCTACCTCGCTCAAGGTGGCTGAAGATAGTGACAAGAAGAAAAAGGGACTCATGTCACCTTTCCGAAAAGGTCGGAAGACTGGCCGAAAGTTTCGTCAACAAAAGAAGGTTCCGGAGGGAGGAATTAGTTCCCCCGGTTCAGGGGTGACCAGTGACACTGATCAAGAGTATTTATTGGATTCTGAATCCAGTGTCCCAAATAGCCCGGCTCTCGTGAAAAGTAATGTTCTTCATGGAACTGAGAATGAAGGAAAAGGGGAGGAGAGTGAAATTAATCTGGACACGCTTGAGCGACTGAACGGGTCGTCGTCACCTAAGGGATCAGACGCCAGCAGCAAGACTCCATCTCCGGTTACCAGCAAGAGTAACACGATCGAATCTGGTGTTATGAAAGTTGACGAGAAGGCAGAAAAAAAGAAAGAGAAGACAAAATTTGGGAGTTTTCTTGTTCGCAAGGACAAGAAACAAAAACCTGAGTATGGTTCGAAATTTTCTATTGTAAGTAATACCTCAGCAGCGTCTTTTACTACTGATGCGTCGATGGCAAGCACCGACGCGGTCGCAACATCAGATTCTACAGAGATGAAGACAGAAGAGAAGGCTAATGTGAAAGGCGATATGGATCCTCTGACCGCAGAGTCTGAGACAAACAATACCAAACACGTAGCCTCAGGTTCAACCGACGCTAAGGATGTTACCCCCAGTTCCAATATCTCTACCATCCAGTTTATCAAAAATCTGACGGTAAATGCAGAAATACCCGCTGTGCCGGGTATCAAGACAGAATCACAAGAAGATACCTCTGCAGTGGAAAACAAGAAGCTTGTTACATCACCTAATGGCAAACCATCTACATCAGAGGTAATTTCTGAAACGAGTGCGACAGTTGATATTCTCTCAAATCAAAATGAATCTCCTGATATTCTAAATTCTTCCTCCCCTGTTTCAGTTAGGTCTTCCAATCCCCAGGTTCCTCCTCCCGAACCCATAACAGTTACCTCAGGTTCTCAGGTGACAGTAAACCCGTTGACGACCAATCCAGTCTCCCGGTCGTCTACTAGATCGAGATCCCCAACTCCAGTCTTTCCTAGACGTTTTTCCTTGGAGAACGTTTCAAAACCTTTAAATGTAAAGGGGCTGTCTACCGAGCGTCGAGGTAGTTTAGGGACTCTACACAAGATAACGCCATTTACCTTCACGTTGGAAGAGACAGCCAGATATACGACAAAGGCGTCAGAGGGCGTTAGTGTTGAGGTGGCCCTGCCAGTGGAACCTCTGGCTACCCGGGGCAGAAGCCCTTCCCCATCCAGCAGAGAGAGTTATGGGCGGAGGGTACGAGGCTTCCCCGAGGGTGACCGTTCCCTGTTAATGGAATCGTCGGGCCACACAAGTGGCTCTTGGGTATGGTTATGCTTCTGTTTGTCGTATCTAGGCGACGTAGGTTCGAGTAGTAATCTGCACTTCATTGTGCGCTGTAGATTCTCATTTTGCTAGCAACCTTTGTTGCCTCTTGTTATAACTGAGTATCAGGCTAATTGTCAGAGCTGCTTATAATCATGTAAATAATGTGTTTATAATTTATGTAATGGGAATAATAGTGGGCTTGTATTCCTAAATTGTTATTTTGTGCATCATGCCCCTATTATTTATCAAGGGCCAGTATGTGGCAAGTTGAGCCAATGTAGTAATTGTATATAATATTTGCTCTCAGTTTGTTTATGCGCTTGTGTTGTGTAGTAATTCATGCAGTACTTTTTGCTTTATAAACTTAGACGTATAGTGTACTTTTTTTATGTTAAATATTGTTTGAACAGTTTTGGTATATTGTAAGACAGGAGTTATTTAAGATTTCCGTTTAATGCGACTTTGGTATGTCTATGTACTTCCTCAAGATAAATATGAAAGGAGGTGACATATCGTATTATGTTGCATTATTTACCTTATTTTGGATGATGAAATTTCTATTGAATATAGTCTAAAGGCCTTTGAAATCTGAATGAGAAATTCTTGTCCTCGTGTAACTTTTCTTTGATTATCGGTAGACAAGTGCACATACCCTCTGCCCCCTTCCCTCTCTCTCCCCCCTCGTGCGCGCGCGCGCGTAAACACACACACACACACACACCACACAACACACACACACACACACACACACACACACACACACACACACAACACACACACACACACAGTCAAGCACGTCAAGAAATTGGAGAAAGTGCAAAGGTTTGCAACAAGACTAGTCCCAGAGCTACGGGGATTGTCCTACGGGGAAAGGTTGAGGGAAATCGGCCTGACGACACTGGAGGACAGGAGGGTCAGGGGAGAAATGATAACGACATATAAAATACTGCGCGGAATAGACAAGGTGGACAAAGACGAGATGTTCCAGAGAAGGGACACAGACACAAGAGGTCACAATTGGAAGTTGAAGACTCGGATGAATCAAAGGGATGTTAGGAAGTATTTCTTCAGTCATAGAGTAGTCAGGCCGTGGAATAGCCTAGAAAGTAACGTAGTGAAGGCGGGAACCATACATAGTTTTAAGGCGAGGTATGATAGAGCTCATGGGGCAGGGAGAGAGAGGACCTAGTAGCAATCAGCTGTGACTCGACCCCTGCAACCACAAATAGGTAAGTACAAATAGGTGAGTATGTACACACACACACACACCCTCACCCTCACCCCCCCACACACACACACACATGGTAATGCATTATTTACAGCTAGCAAAGTCAGGGTATTTTTCCAGAATGGTCTGTAATATATCACTGTGGATAAAATACTTTGCCATTTCTTGAACATTTCTGAGTGAGTTGTTTCTAAGTTCATTAATTTGATCACACTCCAGTACATAATGACGCAAGGTGTGACAATAGTCCATCTGGCAAAGTTTACATTTCGTTTGGTCTACATCTGGTGGTGGTAATTTAACCTGCCATAGATACTTGTAACCCAGCCGGAGCCGGGCGGTAGTGACATCCAAGAGTCTGCTTATCTTGTTGGATGCACCATAGACATGTGGCTCCTCCTGCATGATGGAATGATGATAGATGGACTGACTTGTGTCAATCTCCCTAAGTCTTAAGTCAATAAAGTTCATTTGAAGTTCTTTTCGTATTATTGTTCTCAAACTGCTAACTGACAACCCAAGATTGTAATCTACCCCCTCTTTGAAAGCATACAGCTTAGCCAATTTATCAGTTCTATCATGCATCTGAAGACCAATGTGAGATGGAATCCACAGCATGTGCACTCTGACTCCACTGTCCACAATCTTACCATACCTATGTCTGGCTTCTGACACAAGCATGCCACAATTTATACTTAATGAGTTGAGAGCATTTATGGATGACAGAGAATCAGTTACAATTAAAGTGTCAACCTTAGATACATGGACACATTTGAGTGCAAGGAGTATGGCAAACAGTTCTGTTTGAAGGGTAGAGGCCCAGTTATTGATGCGTGCTCCAATTTCTTTATGAGAGCCATCACTCTGTGTGACAACAGCAGCACTACCAGCTGCACCAGTCATCGAGTACATGGCGCAGTTGTTGAGCCCCTACCTGGTTAGACACATGCAGAAGCCCGAAAAATGTCCGAAAGTTTGCAACCACACTTTAAAGGAACTGAACTTCATGTCCTTGGCAAAAAGAAGAACTAGGGAAGATGTGATAACGTACAGTACAAATTTTTAAGAGAAGAGGAATTGTTAGGATAAAGATTGACTTAGGAGAGCGAAGGACAAGGGGATACAGTTGGAAGCAGAAGACAGGAATCCTTACCCTAACCTTGTAAAACCCTGTGTAAAAAAATGAGGTATAGGGACGAAAGGAAGTGTCTTTAATAGCAGGATGGTTGAAAAGTGGAATATCTTTAGAGGGGCGGTGGTGGAGGTAAACGCACTTTCTGTATTTTTAAGTGCATTTATATCTCTTTTGCAAGATGGAAATCTATTTTCTGCCACGAAATCTAAATGCCATCTCAAAAGATGTAAAAATATAGATGTAAAGTTTGTGACTTCTGTTGCTTATATTTCTCTACTTGAAGTCTCTTATGGAAGATATTTAATTCACGTAATGTGTGCGGCGTGTTGGACAGGGCAAGCGTGGATGGTACCTTTATGTGAGTACTTACTGTATATAGTCACAGATTTTGGGGCGATGCAAACAACTTTTGGTCTGCTTTACGTATTTACATCGGACGTGCTTATCTCGTAGAGGTCACACAGCTCCTGGGAATAAGAAGCAGTCAGGCTTGATTGAGAAGAATGGGAGGGTAGCTCCAGTTCTCTTGATCAAGAGCCCTTCGTCAACATCAAGGCATCAGTCATCCTTGAAGAGCTCAGCTTTCTTTAAATGTCAGGGTGATGGTGGTGACATTATCACTTGTAGTCACCGTGACCTCTTGTTACTGTGACCTGATGGCAGTGTACTTTGTCTAGGTTTTGTTGAACTTCTTGTCTGAGCTCGTGAGTGAAGTAATTGAGTAATTTAAATATGGAAAACCGAGAAAATCCCTGCCATAATGTCTTGTCGGTAATTCTACCAACATTATTACAATGTTTAGGTAAAAGGACACAAGTGCACAGCGGCTTGACAAAGCTCCTGGAGAGCGAAACGTTGTCACATTAAAATGTCGCATTAGTTGTACTTCCCTGTCCTTTTACCTAACAACTTATGCCTTGTTTTCATCCTATGTCGACGTTGTTCTTACTGATATGTCTCTTTGAAAGGGTCTCCAAGATCAAGTTGAATGGCATATTTGTTGGTGGAGGTTTATCAGTACTCTCCCCCCCCCCCCCATCCATACAGGATAGCACGAAAATGCCAAGCAGTTTGGCTTTTTATGTTTGGATTCTTTGGGTCCTTCCCTAGGATACATCCCACAACTGTCAACTAACACCGCGTACCTACTTTCTGCTAGGTGAATGGGGGCAGCAGGTGTAAAAAAGACCCGCCTCTACATTTCCGAATGTATTATTATTAGTTGTATATAGAAGAGGAAGTGCTAAACCGTAAGAGTTGTCCAGTTCCCGGGCACCAGGAGGAAATTAGTTCTCTCCTTGGATCAAGAGACTTTTAGTAACATCAAGGCACACACAGCTTGCAGGGTCTCAGACCTGTACGGTTAGCCGTTTCAAAAAACACAATGAAAGGCAGCGGTCACCAGGGCCACGGTACAGCACTGTTTTTCTTGGATTCTTTGGAACCAAAATCATTATTATATATATGAAAGTGATCAAGTTGGAATCAAGAGACGCCTAGCAATTCTGAAAATTCATTAACAAATACACATGAATGCTGAGATTACATGCGAGAATTTAGTTTAGAAAATAGTTTAACGGTCACCACGATCACCAGGAACAGTCACCAGTAGTGCGTTCACCAGGACCACGATCACCAGGACCACGATCACCAGGACCACGATCACCAGGACCGCGATCACCAGGACCGCGATCACCAGGACCACAATCACCAGGACCACAATCACCAGGACCACAATCACCAGGACCACAATCACCAGGACCGCGATCACCAGGACCGCGATCACCAGGACCGCGATCACCAGGACCACAATCAGCAGGACCACAATCATCAGGACCACGATCACCAGGATACTGACGAAAAGCCTCGCCAATTGTGATGAATGGTTTGAAAAACAGACAAGTTGAAGATTGAGACACTTATGCAGCATATGGGAATCTTTATTCAGGAAACGTTTCGCCACACAGTGGCTTCATCAGTCCAATACAAAGAGGAAGGCGTAAGGAGAGGAGTAGTGTGAGGTAATGATTACCTCACACTACTCCTATCCTTACGCCTTCCTCTTTGTACTGGACTGATGAAGCCACTGTGTGGCGAAACGTTTCCTGAATAAAGATTCCCATATGCTGCATAAGTGTCTTAATCTTAAGCCTCGCCAATACATTTCTCTCCAGCGACATTTTTAAATGTCAATGTCGTCTGAATGTCTTTAAGACCAGGAAGGGGACAACTCCAGGTTAACGCAACTCTGATGTCCAACACTGGTTGTAAGTTGATATTTTGTACGAAAAATCAGAAACGAAAATAAATATAAAAATAATATTGATGGTGGAGCACGGGAAACCTTCCTCTCGGCCAGATGTCATGCGATGCATTGTAATCGAGTTCACTCAGGGTATTGAGAGTAATTAATATCATAAAGTAGAGAGACAGTTAGGTGACCTGCATTGAGTGAATATCCTGAGCTGTGTTCTTTTGGTGGAAGCGTGAAACCTGCGAATGTACTGCAGTGTTTGTGCAATGGAGGGTCATCAGAGATGCACATATATTTCTTACGATGATACAAAAGAGATGCATTGTAACAGTGCGGGTTATGGCATGGTTCTGTGAAGACTTTTCTTGTACCCAGAGATTTTATCACCTCTCAAGAGGTCTTGTATCAGAGGTCCGGAGGTGGAAGAATGAGGTCAAGAAGTCACCTGTGAGTAGCCAGGTTAGGTGATGGCAGTATCAGGTATTGAGATTATAATCTTTGTTCAAACAGGGAAGAATGTGTGGGAAAGGACACTTGTGTACTGTTCAGGACATTAAAGAAAACGTTTCGCCACGAGTGACTTCTTCAATCCTAATGGCTGAAGCAGGCACTCGTGGCGAAACGTTTCCTCTGATAAATGTCCTGAATTGTACACAAGTGTCCTGTCCCACATTTTGTCGGCATCACTATACAATTTAAAACCATGGGAGACTGTATTGCTGTTGTATTACAGTAATCAGGTTTGTTGAAAGGAAGGAAGCGTTGCTTCAATTCTCTATATCGAGAGCATATTCAGCATTAAGACATCCTCTCCCTCCAAGTGTTACTAGGTTAGAGCAGCAACTGTTCTTTCCCCTAACATTCCCATCCCGTAGGATGACAACATCCAAATAACATACTGGCGACGTCAGTGAAAACGTCGCATTTCAGGAAGAAACTGTGAGATAACGTTTCCCCGTGCAGAGATTAATAAAGCTTAGCATGGCTTAATAAAGCTCTACACAGGGCCAGACGTTATCCTGGGTAAATGCTTGTTCTACACGTGTCTTTTTTCCTCTCTTCGTAGTTTTGCTCAGAAGGTTCGCTGCATTTGTTGCGAGTTCTACTTGAATCCCTGCAGCAGGTCTTAAGGTTATTAGAAGTGAAGGCTGGCGGCTGTTATATGGTTTCCCAGCATGTGTTGACTCACCCTACTGCCCCTGTGCAAGCAACACTTGTTTTACATCACTTGTAAGGCAATTGATGTAAAACGTTACTTGTTTTACAGTGAAATAGTGAGATATGAAAATGCAATTTTCCGGATATGACAGCTGAAATAATAGGGTCTTTTATGCACCTTCACACTTTGCAGTCGAAACGGTGATTGCCTTCTGTTCTCTTGGCACTGTGATTGCCTTCTGTTCTCTTGGCACTGTATGACTCCTACGGCTTTAGTGTTTCCCTGTGAGTATGATGATGATAATCTGATGTAATATATGTAATATCGAACAATTGTAGGCATTTGTTATATATACATACATACATATATATATAGCTTGTGACTGGGCTAGAGCTTGGTGTAGCTGTCTTGTGTTTCAGGATGATGGTAAACTTAAGGTTTCTCTGTAATCACAACACCAGGCTCCTTTCTCTTCACAGGGAAAATATTTTTTAACCACGTATATAGTGCGTACGTGCAGACGCATACATGCGCACATTCACACACACGTGTGTGTGTGTGTGTGTGTGTGGAAAGTGAGGTAGTGGAGGCAGGATCCATACATAGCTTTAAGAAGAGGTATGATAAAGCTCGCGGAGCAGGGAGTAACCTAGTGGCGACCAGTGAAGAGGCAGGACCAGGAGCTCTGAATCGACCCCTGTAACCACAATTGAGTACACACACACAACACACACACACACACACACACACACACACACACACACACACACACACACACACACACACACACACACACACAGGAAGTGGAACAGTCTGAAGAGAGTAATAATGTTGGTAAAAATTACCGACACAATGTTAGGTAAAAGGTCACAAGTGCAACTGATGCGACATTTTATTGTAGCAATGTTTCATTCTCCAGGAGCTTTGTCAAGCCGGCTTGACAAAGCTCCTGGAGAGCGAAACGTTGCCACCATAAAATGTCGCATTAGCTGCACTTGTCCTTTTACCTAACGATCTAGAGAGTGAAGCAGTGGAGGCAGGATCTATACATAGGTTTAAGAAGAGGTACGATAAAGCTCTTGGAGCAGGGAGAGTGGACCTAGTAGCGACCAGCGAAGAGGCGGGGCCAGGAGCTGTGACTCGACCCCTGCAGCCTCATATAGTACACACACAAGTTACTATTACACATGGTGACCGTCAGGCTAGTGCTAGTGGTACCTGAAAGTTAGCTGAAGATAATTTTCTGGAAGTCTGCAGTCCTTTAGACTACACTAGACTACAATAAGGTCGACATACACAGAATCAAGTCAGCAGGTGTTTGTAGCAATGTCTAACGTATTGGCATTCAGGAACCTTAACGAGTTGCTTCATGATATTACATACGGCATATATCAGAAACATTTTAAAACAGAAATCACCAGCATGGTACACTTATGAAAAGAAACTGGAGAAAGTGCTGAGGTGTAAAACGACACTTAAAAGTTAGGTAAATGACTTATGGCAGAGAAATGAAGGACCAAGAGAGGCATGATCACGACGTACAAGATACTTAGAAGACTTGATGAGGTGGGCAGAAACAGATTTTTAAAAGAGGGAAACTGAAACAATGAGTTGTAGATTTAATGAGCCGCATGCACTTCATGTAATCTTTCTTCAGTCTTAGCTTATGGAGAAAATGTGGATTGACCTGGGTGAGGTAGTGGTGGAGGCAGATCCCATAAGCAGCTTTAATACTATATATGATAAGGTCCACGAGGCTAAGAATTAATAAACCTGGTGGCACTAAGAGGTATTGCAAGGAGTTGAAACTCAACCCCCACAACTACCACTAGGTGAGTGCACACCAAATATTGAAAGCGGGAACAAGAAATAAGTAATCACAATTACTGTAGGTAATGACACAGTTCTACGAAAAGGGAACATAAATCAGGAGGGTTGGGTGAATTGCATATTCTGCCCATGGCAGGCGAGTCCTTATAAAACCCGCAATTCTAAAACTGAGTTTTAGGACTCTCCTGCCATGGTTTAGTAATAGAGTTGTGGATGAGTGGAACAAACTCCCAAGTACAGTTATAGAGGCCAGAACGTTGTGTAGCTTTAAAAATAGGTTGGATAAATACATGAGTGGATGTGGGTGGGTGTGAGTTGGACCTGATAGCTTTTGCTACCAGGTCGGTTGCCGTGTTCCTCCCTTAAGTCAATGTGACCTGACCTGACTAGTTTGGGTGCATTGGCTTAAACTGGTAGGAGACTTGGACCTGCCTCGCATGGGCCAGTAGGCCTGCTGCAGTGTTCCTTCGTTCTTATGTTCTTCTTATGTTCACATATAATTATAAACTAGGCAGGTCTTCACTGGATCTGTCTAGCGAAGACCGAGTTAGCCTTGTGCTTGTGTTATTCAACATCAAGGCACCTTGATGGGAGAGTTTACAGACGGTGGTTAGTAGTACAGAGTAGACATTAAGGTAAGATGTTGAAAGAGGTTACAAATGGTGGGGAACTCTAAATTTTTAGGGTCATACTGCTCCTAGGGACATGGAAGGTATTCAGGTTCGATTCACGGAATTGGAGTACAGGTCCAATTCCTTAGACCAAGAGCACCCCTCAATAGCATCAAGGAACCTCCCTTGAGGGGCCTGTGTATTGTAGTGCAGTACTAATACGGCAAGTGTTTGCTGTAGAAATATTTGGCTTTTTCTAATCCCAGAAATTGCTGTAATTATATTTGTAATTATGGAATTTAAACGATGTCCAATTTCTTTTAAACTAGTTCAGTGTATTATATAATGTTACGCTTGTAAGCATAAATTGGTAAAAAGTTAGCGTTTGTATTCATTTAGCAGCTAATAATGTATATATGTACAGGTTTTTATTATATACAAATCGTATATAGGTGCTTCAGTAAGGGAAACGACTATAATGGGTATCAGGTGTCATCATGAATACATTGCAAAGATAATTACGTATATTTTGCAAAAATAATCCGTACATGCACATTACTCTCAACATTCATTTCTTGTCAGTGATTACAGCACTAATATTGTAGGCAACCTCGAGCGCGGACAAGCGTGAACATCTATACAAGATACTGGTGATCGGAGAGCTTGGCACAGGCAAGACCTCTATTATAAAGAGATATGTTCACCAGTTCTTCAGCCAGCACTACAGGGCTACCATTGGCGTTGACTTCGCCCTCAAAGTTCTAAACTGGGACAGCAACACTGTCATCCGTCTTCAGTTGTGGGACATTGCAGGTGAGCCCTGTATAAAGTTTTGCAAATATGTTATCTGTTAAAGGTACTGTGGATCATTGTTTCCTGTAGCCTTTTTTTTTTTTTCTAAATATATTTCAGAGGGGTGAAGAGAGGGTTGTTGAGGTGGTTTGGTCATTTAGAGAGTGGAACAAAGAATGACATAAGGAGCATATAAATCTGTAAGGGAAGGAAGGCAGGGTAGGGGTCGTCCTCAAAAAAGTTGGAGGGAGGGGGTGAAGGAGATTTTGTGGGCAAGGGGCTTGGACTTCCATTAAGTGTGTGTGAGTGTATTAGATAGGAGTGGAGACAAATAGTTTTTGGAACCTGACGAGCTGTTGGAGTGTGAGCAGGGTAATATATTGTGAAGGGATTCAGGGAAACCAGTTAGACAGACTTGAGTCCTGGAAATAGAAAGTACAATGCATGCACTTTAAAGGAGGGGGTTTGGGATATTAGCCGTTTGGAGGGATGTCTAAGTTGTCGTATCTGAATGACTGCAAAGACAGTGATTATGTACTAGTGATGGTGAAAGTGTTGAATGATGATGAAAGTTTTTTTTTTTTGTCACCCTGCCTCGGTTGTAAACAGCTGACATTTAAAAAAAATAATACCTGTAGCATACCTGGAAAGGGTTTCAGGGGTCAACACCCCTGCGGCTCGGTCTGAGACCAGGCCTCGTGGTGGATCTGGGTATTGCGACCCCTGAATGGGTCACAATGTATATAATGTATATTACCTGTTCATAAAATTTTATGTTGCTTATACATTATTTGCGATATTAGCTAAATCGTAAATATATTGCTTTATATTAGTATTTGACTTAGTTTTATTATTAGGTAGGATGTAACATTTATATATTATTCAGTGCTCATAGTTCGAGTGTTAAGTAGCTGACAGCATTGTCTAACTACTGTGATTATCGCTCCGCTCGTTTCTTTGCCAGCTTCTCTGTAGTTGCTGGGCAGCAGCAGTCCACAGAGAGTCACGTGATCAGGGTGGGGTGATCACACCTCACCAGGAGTGAGAGTCGGCCTGGCCTGCGCTTGCTCTTGTCTGTTTGACGTTGCTTCCAACAAGACGTGCCTCTCCAGCTCCCTTGCTGGCCCTTGTTGGAAGATCGTCTCTGTCACTTGTTGTTGGTTCTGTATAACTGTTCACAGAACATAACCTAGACTTGAAGAATTGAGACACTTATGCAACACATGGGAATCTTTATTGAAGAAACGTTTCGCCACACAGTGGCTTCATCAGTCCAATACAAAGTAGAAATGGGTAAGGAGAGTAGAAGTATGAGGTAATCAGTCCCTCAACCTGGATTCGATGTGTTCAGTCCATCACTCTTGTAGTAAGTGCAGCATAGGGCCAGAGAGGTGGCTTATATACTGCGGTGAGATGAGTTGAAGCAGGAGGAGGCAGGATCTTAGTGGGACCTGCCACTAATGTAAGTAGGTCATCGTCCAAAGGTACAAAGACTTCAACGCTTGCCCAAACCTTTGGACGATGACCTACTTACATTAGTGGCAGGTCCCACTAAGATCCCGCCTCCTCCTGCTTCAACTCATCTCACCGCAGTATATAAGCCACCTCTCTGGCCCTATGCTGCACTTACTACAAGAGTGATGGACTGAACACATCGAATCCAGGTTGAGGGACTGATTACCTCATACTTCTACTCTCCTTACCCATTTCTACTTTGTATTGGACTGATGAAGCCACTGTGTGGCGAAACGTTTCTTCAATAAAGATTCCCATGTGTTGCATAAGTGTCTCAATTCTTCAACTTGTCGGTTTTCAAAACCATTCATCACATCTGTCAGACACTGCAACATCATGGAATCTTGGTACAAAGACTTCAACGCTTGCCCAAACCTTTGGACGATGACCTACTTACATTAGTGGCAGGTCCCACTAAGATCCCGCCGCCTCCTGCTTCAACTCATCTCACCGCAGTATATAAGCCACCTCTCTGGCCCTATGCTGCACTTACTACAAGAGTGATGGACTGAACACATCGAATCCAGGTTGAGGGACTGATTACCTCATACTTCTACTCTCCTTACCCATTTCTACTTTGTATTGGACTGATGAAGCCACTGTGTGGTGAAACGTTTCTTCAATAAAGATTCCCATGTGTTGCATAAGTGTCTCAATTCTTCAACTTGTCGGTTTTCAAAACCATTCATCACATAACCTAGACTTAGTGATTTTCGACATTATACTGAGGTTGTGTGTCACAGACACTGAGAAACTCAGGTCTTGAGCTGTAGCTTCTGACGTAATTTGTACTGGTATCTGTGTACTGTCACAGTTGGGGATTTACTAATGCTGAACTTAGATTCAGTAGTATGAGAGTTTTGTGACGTTTGTGGAGGATCAGCAGATGGTCCCTACTTAGTGTCATTATATTATCTCCTTGTTCCTGATACTATGTCACTGTTGCTTGTTATATTGCTGTTTGGCTTATCAGTCGTTTTATTGTTCAAGCAAGCTGTTCTGACTACCAGGTTGGTCAAGAAGTTAGTTTATGTGAGGACTTTTAGTCAGTCACTGGTTAAGTCTAGTCGAGTCTTGAGACATAGCGAACTGCTTAGAGCACTTACACACATACACACAAACTTACTTGTATATATATGTATTATGTTATTAAATGTTAACAATGTACCAGACGGTACTTAAAAGCCATGAAGATGTGATATGTGCCTTCAACAAAATATTACACGAGAGAAGTGTAGGAACTTGTATCCTATATTATATTCAATTGATTACTTTAATTTACTTTGATATTATATGCCTAGACAACTTTATTGTTATTAATAAACTTATTAAATTTTAATTTCTTTAGTTAGTAGCCTACCAGTTGTAATACTGAAGCACTATTGAATCTTACTAAATTCTAATGGATAATTGGACTAGGATACTGACTACATGTTACAAAAACCCAGTAACAGGCTGGATGCTAGAAGGGCAGTCCTTTCTAGTATTCACTGGAGATCTCTATGCTTATTAGATATCGCATTTTTTGTAACACAGGGTCTGATCAACCAGGCTGTTACTGCTGGCCGCATGCAAACTGACATACGAACCACAGCCCAGCTGGTCAGGTACTGACTTTAGGTGCCTGTCCAGTGCCTTCTTGATGACAGCCAGGGGTCTATTGGTAATCCCCTTTATGTATGCTGGGATGGAAATAAATGGTATAAAATACCGACACAATGGAAATATAAACACACATGCAGTATAATGTGATCCTTGACTTAAGAAATCGTAATGACACGATTGCAAATAAACCATACCCCCGGCCGGGATTGAACCCGCGGTCATAGAGTCTCAAAACTCCAGCCCGTCGCGCTAGCCACTAGACCAGCTAGCCACAGAGGTGCCTGTGCTAACTTTCCTATGGTGTAGAAATATACCTAGTTGGATGAATCTTATTGTGGCTAGCTGGTCTAGTGGCTAGCGCGACGGGCTGGAGTTTTGAGACTCTATGACCGCGGGTTCAATCCCGGCCGGGGGTATGGTTTAATGTGATCCTTTATTGACAACGTTTCTCCACCATTATTCCTTCGTCTGTCACCTGGCTTCGTTATGTTGACGACATTCTCCTCATAACTCCTAAACGCTTCAACGTTCAAGCTCTCCAAGACAAGCTCAACCAGGTCGAGCCTTCAATCCAGTTCACACTTGAAGAAGAAGTCGACAACACTCTTCCTTTCCTTGATGTTCTGCTCTGCAAAGCTGACCACGAACTTCGTTTTAAAGTCTATCGAAAACCCACCAACCAAAACGATCTTCTCCACTTCTACTCTCACCACGACACCAAAACCAAACGTGGTGTAATTATAGGCTTCTTCCTGCGTGCACTCAGAATCTGCAGCAATGAGTTCCTTGAGGAAGAATGCACTATAATTGAACAAGTATTTTCTAAACTCCACTATCCTCGTCACTTCATCAGAGACTGCAGACAGTGGGCATTAAACATCTTCAACACACCCAGAGAAGACACTGCCGAGAAGAGATACATAGTCCTCCCCACCAACTCCATTGCCAAACATGTTTCCAACATTTTTTCCAATACATCATTCCAAGTATCTACCTCCACAACCACGACCATCAAGGACATCACCAGTAGTAGACAGGACAAGCCTCCATCCTCTGCAGGGGTATACATAATCCCTTGTAATGACTGCAACAAATTATATGTGGGCGAAACATCAAGAGACCTCCAAACACGTATTTCAGAACACCAATATGCAAGCAGGACTGACGATACAAGGAATGCCTGTGTACAACATCGCAATTCACACAACCATTTAATTAACTACAGAAACTCAAGACTTATCGCCACAGAAGACAACACTCAATACCGAAGAATCCTGGAATCATCGCTTATCTCTATAACCAACAATTTCAACCAGAACAACGGCTTCTATAACATAGTTGAACCACTCGCCAAGAAACTTCTTCATCGCTATCCCACATAAGAACATAGAACACTGCATAAGGTCTACTCACAACTTGTCCAATACCCCTGCCAAGCTACCCAAGACTCTATAACCCCACCTGATAGATCATCAGATGCAGCATTCTCCACCTGACCTCAACATTCTGAACATGACTATAAATACTCCCGTACCTTCCACCCCAGGTAGATCTGTGTGTGACTTGAAAAAGCCCACTGTGTGGATGAAACGTTGTCAATAAAGGATCACATTATACTGCATATGTGTTTATATTTCCATGTATGCTGGGAGGCAGTCGAACAGTCTTGGGCCCCTGACACTTATTGCGTTGTCTCTCAGTGTACTCATGGCACCCCTGCTTTTCATTGGGGGAATGTTGCATCTCCTGCCGAGTCTTTTGCTTTCATAGGGAGTGATTTTCGTGCGCAGGTTTGGTATTAATCAAGGAACTTCAACCGTTCCCAGTAATTTAGGTGCCTTATCATATTTATGTATGCCATAAAAATTCTTTGTACACTCTCCAGGTCAGCAGTTTTGCCT